CAGTGGGCCTTGCCTGGTAAAATCCAAAATAGTGTATAGTTTCAGCAGTGGACTGTAACCAGAACTTTCATAGCAGACTTGTGTAGGCTTGAGGCTGTTGTTATCAGGCGGCTACGGGGGGCGGGGTGTGTGCGCAGGATGGAGGAGGGCCGCTTACTCAGACAGGGACAATGGATCGGCACCCACATGTCAGTGACCCAAATGGTGGTGACGCACTACAACATCGGACTGTAGATGTCAGACGTGAACTGTGCAAGGGTTGCAGAATCTCAAAGCAGGCAAGCGATGACAAGGTGTGGTGGGGCACCACCAGGATTGGTAGTCATTGCCCCTTATGTCTGTACGTATGTTGAATTTCTTTCGTAGCGTACGTAACCAACCGTGCTAAATCAGAGGTGCGGGATGTGCAGACACTGATGCTCCCTGTAGCCCGATTTAATTATGGGTGTCTAGAGTCCAATGCAGAACCCATCAGCTCAACGGTGCAACCTGAAGTCTCAAGACATGTTCATTGTGAGCCAATCTCAGTGCGCTAACTAACGAAAAATAACAACTTGCAAGGCTTTGTCAATTCACTGCGGGATGAAGGCCACCCCATGCAGTGCTGGTCATGGGGGTTGTTTGACTGCCACCCCATCACCAGCCCGCTGGCCAATGTGGTGGTGATGCGGGATGGTCCAGGACACGTTCAGATGTCACCCTCCACTCATGTTAGCCGCAGCCAGGACTCGAACTCAGGTGGCCGGGTTCATAACGCAATCGAGCCAACCACTGCTCCACTCCTCCCACCATTCGTGTTCATTAAAACAGTTTTCTACACACACACACAATTCATGCCTCGAAACGTTCTTGTAAGTAGCTTATTTATGGAAATGTATTTCTACGAGAGGAGTAGATTGCAATAAGTTGCGAGAAACCAAATCACAAACCTCCACAGCCTTTTTGGGGCTCTACAAATATTATTATTATTCAATCAAATCTCGCCCATGCACGGCGCACAGTTGACGGCGCCGTTAGTGGCCGGGGGGCAAATCTTCACGCGCAGACTCATGAACGACTGTCACCCTGGCCTCACCCGAAAATGCACAATCGCAGTTTCTTTTACGTGGAGCGCGGTGGCTGGGTCATTTCAGGGTAGGGTGGGGGAAAAACTACAATTTCCATTCATTAGAAAAATATATAGAAGGGCGCGGGGGCTGGATTATTCACACATATTGCAGCTCTTTGACCGGTTACGACTCCAACAACACGTCGTTAGTTCAGCGCGTGATGGGAGTTCGAGATGAAAGCAAACGTTCGCTCTGCTGTGATACGAACACACCCATGGGCGTCATCGAGTGGAAGACGCCTAAAGGAGGTCGCGTCTACTGGAAATCTGTGGGGGAAAAGAGCTTTGCAGCTTATCGGATTCCTCCAGTATAAAAAAGTATTCCGATTCTGATTAAACACGTAGCATGGAACGTCGATTACGACGAATTTGGTTATCCTGCTAATTTGTCCAGCGGCCACACGCTGGTGCTCTACAGAGCCCCAATAGAAGACGAACTCTACACGTGAAAAACAACGTCCTTTATTTATCCAGGGATCCTGCAGGGTGGTCCACCTGTCATTGAAAGGTGCATGGTACACACAAAACGTCAAGAATATTGAATCTGTGAAAGAATGTGCAATATAACTTCCGGTTTGTAGTTAAGTTTTGTTCTTTCCGCACTATTTTTGCCTGCACCTCTGACACGTTCCGTTCCGTTGCTGCCTGTTCCTCCGTATGGATCACCAATGGTATTGTTCTTGTTCTGTGCTGATGCACTACGGATCTCCCTTAGCAAACTAGCTGGGAAACTGGCTACACGGGACTTTCCGTGTAAAAGGAACAAACATTGACCGATTACAGGACCGATCCGGCAGCATCAAGTTGGCGAATGCCCCCTTCCTAACAATGATGCCCCCTGCCTGGTGAACTATGTGCACAAGACAGTTGTCCGCAAAGTGCCGCCGGGAGACATAGATCATGAGATTCCACACGCACTTTTCTCTCGAAATTAAGGTCCATTTTTAATAATTAGTGTACCGTATATCCGAGAGAGTAGTGGGGGTAGCGTCGTCCGTGGCACTTCCCCCGATTGGACGCAAGGCTCCGATGACTCAAGGGTGATTCGTCATCTCACGTATGTACGTTTAACCAACCGTGCTAATCAGGGTTGGGGGGACAACAAAACTACATCTCATGACGAGACTCCGATCGCGACTCCGATCGCGCTCTCACGAAAATAATCCGTGAAAAAGTAAAAGACAAATTAATAATGAATTAAGCGTCGATGGCACTAGTTGTGCAAGGATCTACGTTGTCAAGAAGCGCGCGTGACCCAATACTTTATCGGGCGGACAAACTCTACATTTTGCCCTCTGTTGCCACACACGAAGGCACCACTGAACATGAACAATTGCGTAACAAAAAATTGCGTAATAATGCTATCATCATTACAAGTTCACAGAGCAGGCGAGAATGATAAACAACATGTAAGAGCTTATTCTCTTGTTAAATTTGCTCAGTCCTATTTGCTGTGCTGCACTCCTTACAGCCACCTCTCATAATCCTCATCAAATATCATTTATACTGCGCCTCCCATTCAGTACATCTCAAGACGCCCCGCTGGTTGGCTGCCCACGTACATCTCAGCATGATCCCACTGTCTCCAAGTCACTGGATTGTGAGCTTGAACTACCCCCACACTTGCATTAACAAAAAAATTAATGAATTACATTACAGATCAAGTTAAAAGAGAGTATCTCGGCCAATTCTGACGACGCCACCACACTTCAGCTTTAAAATCATTCTGCCAGAACTCTAAACTGATGTACAACCCAAAAAAGGTCAAACTATGCCACCACTTGGCCACCGATCTCTGGGTGCCACTCCAATATCTGTCTGGGTAACCTGCCCCTCCCTCTGCCTGCTTGCACACCTGCCCTGCTCATGACAACCTCCCCGCTTGATTACGTCTACAGGGATCCATGTGCCTTACTACTGTCGTGTCATCATACTGCTCAATCCTCCACCCTCAGATTACTTTCTTGTTGTGCTTTGTTAAATGTTCCAACATCTTAATCCACGTGGTACCAAACTCCTGCCACAAACACCAATTTCCTATCGCTGAAGTTGACCTGGACTCCAGTCTTCAATATTTGGTTGATTCGGTCCATCACAAAGGCCGGTTTCTGCAAATGCAGCACTCGCCTGACTCACAACTTGGCGAATGCTCCATTTCGATCGGCCTCTCGTGAAAGCTTCCCAATGTCTCCACTACCGATGAGAGAAGACCCCCCCCCCCCCCCACCGAAGGTGATGCGTTTTGGCCCGTGTTTATTGACGTTCTTCATCACACCCTCACCACACAGAGAACGTCACTCCCTATAACAACTTTCACCCCAAACCAAAACAACCATCAATATTCCTCCACAGCGTCAAACCGCAGCGTGGCCTTGGCACGTCGCTGCTCAATGTTGGCGGTACGGCACAAACAGAGGGCGGCCAAATTGCGATTTGTCGCGCTGCAACGTAGGGAATACAAGCCCGGACTCTATATAAACACATTCAGAGAATGTTCTGCCAAGTAGTTTTTGGATGTCGTTCAAATAGATACATTGTTTACGTTCGCCAAGTGGAACAGCCACGCAGCCCTGCAGCAACCGCGCTGTAAATGGCAGCAATTTGACGGATTTTTGCACGGGAAGCATCAAACACACACACAATATCTCAAGCTAAGTTTAATCCATTCACAAATTACGCATAACAGTTATAATTGCTTGTACAATATTAATATAATATATATGCATTTTATTGATTGAAAAGCCCAGCTTAAGCCTCGCTTCTCTTTCAGGAGGGAATTGCATTTTTACGTTTGGCCAATTAATTTCCATTGACTTTGTTTGTATCGTGTAGGAGCAAACAGGAATAACCATAATGAAATCCACTTGCACTCAAACCCTCGTTGCAGACGGGGCCACCAACCCTCTTGCTCTACTGCAACCTGACCAGCTAGCGGGCCCTCTGGCTGAAATGGCACTCATCACTGCTCACGATGATCTCTCTATGGTCCACCAACCTCATCGCCAAATTTTGCACCTCAATCCATGTGATGTAGCCGACTGTTTTTTTTTTCAGAGCCCCCACTGCTTTGTAAATTAAATGGGTCAACTTTGATATCTTAATCTGCAAATGACTTACCTTTTAGTTCACCAGCTGAGAACCTATTGAAATGCAAATGTCTCTTTTACAAGGGCATCTTTGATTAAAACCATATTGTTTTAAACATTGTTTTTATTTTACCAGGTAAGGCGAACTGAGCTTAATAGCTCTTTTTCAGAAGAGACCTGTCCGCAAATGATAGCGCAACAACATGGCTTCTGACGTGGACATTTTATCGCAACCAAATACTCTAAACTAAGGTTTACAATGTAAAATTTGATGTTACTCGGGACCAGGAATTGCACACACGCACACATAATACGTTATACGCCAATGATGTATCCATACATCACCGATGCCACTTTGGGGCAGCGATATAGCCCAGTGGCAGTGCGATTGTCGCTCACTGCAGAAGTTCACCGTGAGAATCTAGCAGACCACCCTGGTTACTATTGCATGTGGAATTACCGTAAAATGCTTGTCCTCTGCTTCACAGTGGACGATAAAGATCCCATGACGTCGTTCAAAAAGAGTAGGGCATTGTGCGCGAGCTTCACGGCCCAAATACAATAATCAAATCACCTGAAAATGACTCAAATCAGGATTACACATACCCACAACTCCCCATACTGCGTGATACCTACTGCAGACTGTCTGCAAAAAAAAACCACAACCCCTTCGCGACAGCCTTTGCGATTTAAGAATGTTGGGAATACCAAACGTACGTCATTCTTGACATTTATTATTATTATCTCTTATGTGGGCAGGAACATGCAGGGGACAGGAAAAATTTGGGAATTCTTGGAGGTCTCACCATGGTGGCCGTCATAAAGAAATTCCATGGCAGCAGTGAGCCAAGGCCCAGGATGAAGAAGATGATCCATACGAGGTGGTAGCTGCAGGCCCAGACGCAGAAACATGCACACACACACGTGGCAACACACACACGGAAAACATGCGGAAACATACAGATACCATTCACAATACCCGCCATTCGCCACTAAGTGGCGTTGATGTCACCACAGCGCTTGTGCCAGGAAAAGTGTACTTTGAGGCCATGTGAAGTGTCGAAGATACACGCACGCATACACACACGTGTGCGCACACACACACGGAAACACACAGAAACACACACACACACAGATCCCTGTAGGTGACAGGGTAAATATCTCAAACAGGAGCTGCCTGTGACATCATGAGTACCTATATTCTTGGTTCTGTCGGAATGGCACTCATCACTGCTCACGATGATCTCTCTACGGTCCGCCAACCTCATCTTTATCGTATTGTTTCCTTTCTACGTGACTTTACCGACAGAACCAAGAATATGAATCCCTGCAGTCACGAAATCTTTAAATCAAAATCATGAGTACCATTTATTGACACTTCAAGTATAATCTACCTGGTGTGGTGCATAAATACAAACACGAACTTGGCCGTAAAAAGCATTTGCAGTTACTGAATCAATTATACATCACATTCTTGTAAAGAACGTGAGGACCAATCACGATGGAAGAATTTATCTTACAGTTACAATGGCGTAGTTTGACAACTGATAATCACCTTTGGCATGTATTATTATTATCTTGATTTGAAGCTTTCGATCCACTTTCTGCCCCGCCTCCTCGCCCCCCTCCCCTTCTCTCCTCCCCCCTACTGCCGAGGCCTACTATATAACCTCGTGCCACGGCAGATCTCTCAACTACTTCAGCAGGTGTTTCTTGCTGTGGTTGTCCCACCTGATGACGATTGCTTGTGTTGCGATCCAAACGTCGTGATCTGTTATTTTTCTACCTACGTGACTTTACCGAAAGAACCAGAGTATTATTATCATCGTCATCTTTCTCATTTGCAGCCACTCTTGTACATGTCCAGCCAAAAAGAAAGAAATCCCCATGAGGCCTCATAGCGTGTTTTATTTAAGTGCTGTTTGCGAGCATCTTTTCAGGCTAGCGAGGCAAACAAAAGGCAGCGGTGTTGCCTCGACTTCCACGCGCGTGGCTGCCTCAATTTAGACCGAGTCAACCGAGGGGCGCTCCAAGGGTCAGGTTATGGCGACACTGCTCCCGTGGGTGATTAAGACACACGACCGACCGGGTCTCTCACATTCCTCACAAGAGACTGGTTGTTTTCTTCACAGCGTGCGCAAGTACGAACGACGTCCCGTGCCGCCGCGACATCCCTGCCAGGGTACCAACACGTAACTGTACCCCGTAGTTTATTTTTCGGCTCCCTTTTCGATCCACCGCTGGATGAAGTTTCCCCCCATGCCATGTAAGTCACAAGGATGGTGGGCCCCACGGTGAAGAGATGTTCACTAGCTTGCCTGGTATACAGGAAGTCGTCGGTTCGATTCTGACCCTGGCGCCGGCTATATAATTGGAGTTTGCATGTCTCTCTCTCATCATCATCAAGGTGGCGAGATCGCCTGGTATACAGGAGGTCGTGGGTTCGATCCCGACCCTGACGCCTGCTGCTGTATATTTGGAGTTTGTGTGTCTTTCTCCCCGTGGTCGTGTAGATTTTCTCCGGTATTTGGTTGCTATAAATTTCCATATGATAAGCCACTGTTTTGAGCTATCATTTGTGGCCATGTAATTTCTGAAAAAGAGCTATATAGCTCAGTGGGCCTTACCTGCTAAAATACAAATATTCAGTAAAAAAATAGACCGTATTTCACCACGCTGGTCAACGGCGCATGTGTGTTTGAGGTGCGTTTACCTGTCATGGGGCGCTGCCTGGCTGGGCATGTTGTGTGTCTGGGCTGATCACGTGGTCCTGCAGCTGTGGGTGACATAAGCATGCGAACACAAACAAGCAGTGGATAACCCAAGTGAGCGAGCGATTGGCACACGTGCACAAAAAAGACACGTATGCGAACACGTGCGTGCGTGGAATACACACGCACGCGCAATTACAAAAACGCACGCATACAAAAAACCACACCAGACATATTTAGGAGACATTACCACGCCAACCACTGCCCAATTATACAGGAACATTGCTAAAATTGTGGCAGGTAATGTACTGTAATAGTACAAAAATGCCTAAATCAGCAGCTCAAAAGTGAGTGGAATGTGTGGCCATATAATTTATATCACCAACAAACACAAAAAAATGTGGCTGTCCCATCAGGCAGCAGTGAAATAAGATAAGGCTGGGATTGTTTTATTGGTAATGTGGTGGTCACATGACATTAACGCAATTTATGATGGGCAGCCGTGCCTTCCTGCTGTTGGTGAGCAGTAGCACTCTTTGCGCGTTGCCATTTCTAAGATCCTGTCGTTTAGGGCTGACCACATGGTGGATTGTACATAGACCTGCGCAGAGGACACAAAACAACAGCCTATCGAGATGGGTTGATGCAACCACAGCAGACAAAAGCTCAGCTTGAGGCCGAAAACTCAACAGGAGCAACATCAACAAAATACCTCTGGCCCGTCTGTGGTATAAACAGCACACGTCAGAGCCATTTAACCAAGTGTTCCTAATGAATCCACTCCGAGTGTCACTCCGCCACCGCCCAACAACGCGTGTTTTTTTTTGCCTCTCTTGTTCTGCGATTCTATTTGCGCTGTTTATGCTTCACATGGTTGTCCTGTAGAACATTGAAAAAATGCTCTTGGTATGCAGTCACCACATGAACCTTATGGCGAGACCCCGGGGGTCCCATAAGTCTCCGGCTCTCGCGTAAACTGCTTTGCGACGTCATTTTATGTCTGTTGAAGACGAACGATACGGCAACCTATTCCTCTCGACGAGCTCTAAACGATGCGCTAACTAAAGTTTCAAAGTTTACTTCCTTCTGCACATTCGTCCTCGCTGCGCTTGGCCGACATGACAACAGAATGATCGGCGCCACGTGGGTTGCAGCGTTTGTGTGCGCGGTGGGACGGAGTCGCCAAAAAGAAATTACTTAATTACGATTTTGACTTCCGTTTATTCGGGACCCCAAGATCCCGCCATAAGGTTCATATAACTCAATTGAACACCATGTGCCTTGGGCTCAGAGCTGCCAACAGAGATTTCCAGCATTCGCTCGAGTGGGAAGACGCTGTCCTCGTCTCTACGGTGCTGTAATTCATTGGTCAAATGTGTTTCTGTTTTTTTGCCAATGACAATTCCATCACCTAAACTTGTTTGGCGCGGAACAAACAACTACAACCACCTGCTGTGCAACGAGGTCAGAGTAACTTCTCATGTGGGTTTCATAGAACATGGAAACAAATGTGTGACTTGAAAAAAATGCACGGAGAAAACCTAGGGCATGGCAAGTAAGCGATGAAAGGTGTTGTTGTGTACAGAATGCTTCATATGCCTTTGGTTTAAACATCACTCACTCTTTCTTTCTCTCATCACAAATCTACTACTGAAGAAATCGGAATGCTCATCAGGCCTCATGGCGTCAAGTGCAGTCTTAAAACTTGTATTATCCTTTCCGTGCTCTTTATGTGCAATGAAGTAGGGCCATTGACCAAAACGTCACCAATCATACCTCTCTTTCCTTGAAGACAAGTGTTATTGATGAAGTGTTCATCTTTTTTTGTTCGCTGTGACAAGAGCACCGTTGGTGATATAATCAGCCCATCATCCGCTTCAGGACCAAATAAAACAGAGGACTGCTTTTGCGGGAAGTCAGCAGTGATTGTCTGGAGCATGTATATAATGTTAGCAGCCATACAACTGTGCAATTTACATCCACCAGGGGCTCAGGACCATTAAAACGAAATCAACACTGCTCCAAGAGCATTACACTTTTTGAATGGGATCATCAAATCATCCCAACATGCCCCCCACGATCAACAAAGCCGAGGACCACTAATCCCATTTGTTCATCGATTAGCTCTAAAGGCAGTTAGACATCGCGAAACCCGCAGTGGAAGAAGGTTACTACTACTCCCGAAGTTGGCCTTCAAGTGTGGGGGGGGGGGGGGGCATGGGAGGGGTGCGTTCTGAAAAGTCGGAATCGTTGCGCTTTCTTGTCGGGGCCGAGATCCTTTCACATCCGGGACTGTGGTCGCGCGTCAGCGCCTTCTCAACTACTCCCCACCGCAAGCGCTGACCGAGCGGCCAAAGAATTCCGCCGCCAATGTCGAACGAACGTTAATGAGTAAAGACGCTTGATGAACAACAAGATGCAATCCCCCGCACCCTCCCCACTAATGTAGAGATTCAATTAGAACCCTTATTACCATCACGCACATGTAAAACACACGCACGGCGGGGCCCGGAGCCACACTCAAGGGGTTGCATAATCATTTATCCGCACTCATTAATTCTTTGGATTTTGTCACTCATTCACGAATCACTTGCCCATAACGTACTTCTTTCGTATGGCTGCTGATGAAGGTGCCGAGCAACAAACTACAATTTCACATTCAGGTGGTCAAGCCAGATATCCGTGTCAGGGGCAGCGGAGTGTATCGCCACAATGTCTCCTACCTATTAGTGGATCGGGCATTGCGTTGTTACATGTTGTACGGTCTGTTCTGGCCGACCGCAGTCAAACAGTGGATCATTTTTTCTTTTCCATTTGTGCATCCTATATCCGCATCTGCCATGGTTTTGTGCAGTGGATGCGGTTTCGGGTGGACCATGAACTTCGTGGAAGTTCAAACCCAGGCATCTCCTGCCTTGGGTTTTTCATAAGGTGTCTGTTTGTGAGTTCTATTGAACGCCATTCAGCTCTCCAAGACTATGACCAAATAACCCAGAATATGCCCAATCTCAGCTGCTTTTGGAAGCGAAGCAGGGTTGAGCGAGTCTGGGTAGCGCTAAGATACGAGACCACCACGTCTAATAACAGGTCGTGGGCGGGCAGCAAAAGCAGTGCAGCAAAAATCTATCATTGTACTGCACTCCTTTGCTCTCCCGTCTATGGTCCCTACCTTTATAAACTCGCACTAACCAGTTTAGTGAAGTATTGTCAGAACTTCCACGGAGAGTGGGGGGGGGGGCTTGTCCAGCAGTACACTGACAGAGGGCTGTTACACTTGCATCACGTGTCTCTCTGTGGTGCCATGAGAGTCTCATTACAAGAAGAAATGTCCTTCAGATACTTTTATCTAAGCAGCAGTAGCCATGGCATAACTTGACAAACGGTTTTCATTCCTACGCGTCAGCATAGGTACTGGCAATGGTTCCAACACACATGATCACCAGACACATGTGGGGATATGGCTGAACAAGGTATAGCATGCCAGTGCAATTGGGGCCGAAGCATCCAAGCACAGGCGCTCGATTCACTGCCCTGCTCATAAAACCACAAGTTTACTCGGGGGCACATGACTCCACCCAGTAATTTGTGAGGTCAGCATGGGCTGGGCCCATGTTAAAAACAGTAAACATATTTGGTATTTTTGTGGGATTGTTGTGTTTACCATGTCCTCTTAACAGTGTAAATGTTTAGTGTTTATGTGTTATATTGATAGAGAGAAAAACAAACACGTGGGTTTTCAACTTCTGTCAGGGGACCTTAGTGTATTTGAGTTAATTAGGGTACGGTTTTTAGTTTCTGAAGTATTTAATTTCTGCTTGTGCAATGAGGTGAAATTGAATAGCACAGTTTGGGAGCAGCAGATTATCTCTTCATTTAGAGGTGGGGTTTTTTTTTAGACACCGTTTTGGCCGCTCGAACGTTCAGTCGTCATTTTCAAATTAGCGCCGCTGTGTCAGGTTCGCGACACACAGCCCTCGTGCAACGTTGGGCCTCGAATAATTTTAGGGCAGCTCGCACTGTGGTCGAATCGCCCCTCCCGCTCACAATCAGAACGCTACACATTCAATTATGCGAACCAAACATTAAATTAATTTTCAATGGTACAGTATATTTTTTCAAGTAGTGGTATCCCAAACTTTCGCAGCAGCTTAAATTCCCTTTTCACACCATCAATATGTAAACTCCCCCTCCTCCCCCTCGCCTGTCTGCACATGTTCACCCCCTCTACACCGTTCATCATGCTAAGTCCGCCAATTAAATGCTAATATCTATGCTAATTCCTTTGTCAAGGCGCTCTGTTTCTTCTCACACAGTTTAAAGGTCGCGGTCTGAGCTTGGCTGTGTTCGCTCCAGCGCTGTCCTCCAGAAAGTCTCGTCCCTTCACCTGATTAAGGCCACTTGTGTTGTGGCCGAAACGTCGTGAGAATTTTATTGTGTTATTTTATTTCATTAATTTATTATTTTATTCTCATTCTACGTGACTTTACCGAAAGAACCAAAGAAGCTACACATTCAGTTCTCCGTCGAGGGTTGTCGATCAGCCCATCAGCACTCGAAAGACCGATAAACAGGTACTACTACACTGTGTTAAGTCGGCAGTGGCTGTCCTAAGGACAGACTCATATTGACCACAGGAATGAGGAATTTCCACAACCAGCTCAGTTACCTTAACAAATGACTGAAAACTCACATTCGTCATTTTAACAGTGGCCATAATTTCGATTTAAAGCTTTCGTGACTGCAAGGATTCATCTTCTTTGGTTCTTTCGGTAAAGTCACGTAGAATGAGAATAAAATAATACATTGATAAAATAAAATAACACAATAATATTCTCACGACGTTTCGGCCACAACACAAGCGGACGAGACTGTCTGGTAGGACAGCGCTGTCCTCCAGACAGTCTCGTCCCCTTCACCTGATGAAGGCCGCTTGTGTTGTGGCCGAAACGTCGTGAGAATTTTATTGCGTTATTTTATTTTATCAATTTATTCTTTTATTCTCATTCTACGTGACTTTACCGAAAGAACCAAAGAAGTGGCCATAATATTTGATAGGCGCCGTTTC